CTTCTCTCTTGGGCTGCGGATGCTGATTGTTGTCGTAGAAAAAATTGCCCCCACGCTTGGACTACTTTTCTAATTTCCAACTGTATTATAAATTATATTTTATTCATACTTTAACTCTTTCATTCCTATTCTATGTAGATAGTTATTTTACATCCCCAGCTATACTAATATAGTATATTTTTAGTTTTTGAATCATATAACTTCCTTAATAGATAGCCTATTCATAAACAATTAATAAAAAAGAAACAAACTAATTTTATGTCGAACCTGAAAGCATTGCAATTAATATTTTCAAAAAAATATATAGAAATTATTAAGGAAAAGTTTACGTTTATTTACAATCGTATTTTGATTTATTTGATGGTCAACCTAATAATTGTTGTATGTAATTTTTTTTTTTTTATTTGGAGAAAATTGTGAAATATAGATTATAAAAAAGGGAGAGGGGAGATAAATTAGAGGGAATCATTAAATTATGTTTCAATCTATAAATTATTCAACTCACTATTAAGGAAGTTATATGATTTAAAACTAAAAATATACTTTATTAGTATAGCTGGGGATGTAAAATAACTATCTACATAGAATAGGAATGAAAGAGTTAAAGTATGAATAAAATATAATTTATAATACAGTTGGAAATTAGAAAAGTAGTCCAAGCGTGGGGGCAATTTTTTCTACGACAACAATCAGCATCCGCAGCCCAAGAGAGAAGCCCAGCAAGGGAGCCCAGTTGAGTGAGGCCCAGTTTCCACAGCCCTTTGTGCAGCATGCGTCCGGTCGGAGTCGGCCCGTGCTCCTCACAACGAGTTACCCAATAATCAATCTCATAAAGTTGTGTACAAAGAGGTTTTTAATAATATAAATTTTTTTCGTGACGAACATTATACGATGAATAATGTTCGTATGTATTAGACTCTAATATATCTAATGCATGTCAAATTATAGTATTCTCCAAATTTATATACACGTGCATCGCACGGGATACGCACTAGTTTACATGAAAAACGTATTCTGAGAATACGTTTTTCAATTAAATTAATTGAAAAACATATTCTCAAAATATGTTTTTCATGTAAAATAAAGTGGTGGGTACTGCCCACCGTGAGCAGGTGAGCGGGACTATCAGTCTATAATCTCACTTATCAAATGTCCAATAATTACCTTATAGATATTTGGACTTACCCTATATCAGCTCACGTTCAATCTATAATATCACTTATCAAATGTCCAATAATCACCATATAAATATTGGCCCATTGGATTTATCCTTTATGAGGCCCAAGGTTATAGGTCATTACCCGATTTTCAACTAAGTTGGTTGCATTTGTTTGGTCTCGAAGATTATATTTGGATTATTCGTTTCATCATCCATTATAAATACTAGTACGAATCTCGTGTGATGCACAAGTAAGAGATATTTATTAATATTTGTAAATTAAATTTCTTTATTAAATAATATTTATATATTAAATTGGAATCAATATGTAATAAATTTATCTATATTAATTTATTAAAAATATTATATAAAATTTAAATATTATGCAAAATTGCATAAAATATGTCTATTGAAAATTAATATATAACTCGTACGGTGCACGTAACTATATTATATATTCATTTCAAAGTAAGTGTCATTTTAAAAGTTTTATTTTGACTTCAATATGATTCCATAAAATAATTATTTTGGTAAAATTTTATCATATATTTAAATATCTATGTGAATCATAAGTCAAATTATAAAATTTATATTATTCCATTAATTAAAATAATTTTATATTCTATAAGTTATCTAAATAAAAAAAATGAAGTAGTTGGGTAATTTATTACACTATGAATAACTGACTATTCTAGTTACGGCCAAGTTAATATTGACCCGTAAGATATGAATAGTTACTTATTTGACCTTTAAATTTGAAACCCAAATTTGAACTAAACAATAAATTTCCTTATATATTCACACAATAAATTGCATGGATCCGGTTCGTCGGGAGTTGGGAGGTGGAGTTTGTTGTGTTTCTCTGATTGCGGGTCCTTGGGTGGGCTACCCGGGTGAGGGGCAGAGTCCTTTTGTCTCAGGTTTGGTTAGGTGAATTTTCTGCAGTTTTTGGCTTTGTGGCTTGGACCGAGTCTCTGTCCGTGTGGGTGGTCGTTTGGGGGTGTCGGCGTCGTTGGTGTTCGTTTTGGTTTCGCTGATGTGGGAAGGGGTCTAGTTTCTTTTGTTTTGTGTTTTTTTGTTGTGTTCGTGTTTTGTGCGTGTATTTGGATTGTGGGTTGTCTTTTGTTTTATCTTTGATTAGAGGAGTGTGTCATTTTTCTGTGGGGAGT